GKTTGAGTGACARTACCTTGCAAAAAAGGWGCTCGAAATCCCCTGATATCTTCCACAGCAACATTTCCGAATTTYCTCAGAATCTCCCTCTGACCCATGATCTCTTGACTCCACTGGTGTGCTGTAGCGTTCTTCCACCAYGAGATTGGTAGACGATGAGAGATGGTATGATCTGCTATCTCATGTCGTTGATGGTATAATGTCTGCAGCATTTGGTAATCAGTCCACTCATGAGAKACGAAGAAYGTTGACTTTATCTCGCAGCCATTTGGGTTCTTRAACTCACCATTGAACAACGAAGTATAAAATGAGTAAACCTGTTCGTTGATAGCATCATCAAAGGTCAACATTACTATTTGAGGGATTGACTTGGCCTCCAGTTTGTTAGGAATCTCTTCCCCACTGCAAAAGCAGTTTGGAAGCTTGCAGACGCTTGGGTCACACTGCTTGGCCGGACGATGAACTGATTTCGCAACAGAACTGCTCAACAGTACGACAACCAACAGAAGAGCGATTCGAGTGTGCATTTTACTTGACCGAATTCAACGCTGCTTTGAAGGTTGTTTGTGGATATGACTGCTGTTCGTTGGAGCGAGATCTCTCTATATAATGCTGGTGTGAAAGGTTATCAGTGATGATATCGTCATGAGACTGCCTCTTCCGAGAAAAACCATTAAATCCTAAAAATAACAAATCTTTCCATTCTCAGAATTTCTTTTCTTTACTTTTACTTAGTTTTTCTTTTATTATGCAACTAAACCATAAGTTATGAAACGTTAAATATATATTTCAACAAGAGCGTGAGGTTCGGCAGAAGGTATAGCACCGAGCACGTTAATTTCCGTGTTGTGAAGCAGAAATAAGCTGAAGCATGTCAAGCACATGACATATTGTGCGGGGATTTCCCCAATTAGTGGCCAATCGTTGATTGTTACTTGTTCAGCAATGGAAATATGTTCATTGAATCTTCTAGAATACGTCACAAATCAATAATCTTACCATTAATAATTTCTTTGGGCATTAAAATAGCGATACTCAATGTGACGTAAGCCTTTGTTATTCATGTGCCAACCAGAAGATYAGCTGTTAGAACAAAGCGACTTGTAAAAAGCCATTCTGATCATGGTTGGCACAACATAAGAATGAGTTTGTTGATAATGAGTTTGTTGATAAACATYGAGTATCGCAATACTTAGAAATCTTGCAATCCCGGGGGGCAGGGATGGACTCTGGGGTAAAAGTACCAGGGATGCTCGTCGGATCTCTTAGGGGTTAAAATTTGTGATTGGGAATATTTTAGGGTGCCAATTTGGAACCAGTTTTCCAAGATATTTCATGACAAAGTTTTAATAGTGGGAACTGACTAATGCCCCTTCTCTCTTGTCCCTAAATTGGGTTGGCCTTGTCACTCATGATACATATTGATGGTTTTCAACCATTCCCAGGAGAGAAAGTTGAACAAAAGATGTCCGCCATTGCTGGTGGACCTGACCAAAGAAAACCACCACCGTGACTGGAGGACCTTTTTGTTTTGCTCACTCTCATGGGAATGGTTGAAAACCATCAATATTGAGTAAAAATCTATCTAATGGATTAAGTACTWGCACTCTATGTAAAATAAAAACAACATTACACCAGTTTATTTTGCCAGAAAGGACCAAAATTTATTGCTTCTTTTAAATAAAAATTACAACACACAATTTAACATATGAAAGATGTCTGCAAAATGGTGATTCATTCGTTATTAGATCGCTTAAACTGAGAAAAGATTTATTCCTTTTACTTGTATTTCTCCACCATTTCTTTTATTTTGGTTTCATTAGCTCCMACAACTTCATCCAACTGAAAAATATAAGAAAGCACATCCTAAGTACAGAAAATGGATTTTATCACAAGATAAGCCATTAAAGGGACATGGTCCACCAGCATTCAATGCAGTCGTGTTTTTTAGATTTCTCATATATGGTAAATGAGGTGACTTTGAATATCCATTCGCAATCCATTCCATCCATTGGTATAAAGGTCGAATCTTACAGTATCTCCATTCATATGGTATACAGGGATAATAAAGAGTAAGTTTTTGCTTAGATTTTTATTTTTAAACATGAGTAAAAGCTCGAAAGCGATGCTGGAGGACCATGTCCCTTTAAACACATATTAGACCTGCAGGGCAGTATCCAGGATTCGTCGCTGGAGGGTCCTTACATACTATATCCTCAGCATGACATCAATGTGATATAAACGGGATAGAAATATATTGACGTCATTAAAACCTATTGTTTTCAGGGTTCGTGCTACATTTTCACTACAAAATTCCCGGACTTTTCAAGTACTTTTAAGCATAAAAATGCGATTTTCAAGGAGTATTTTTCAAGATACTTTTTGATGTTTGCAGACGTTTCAAGGGGCGATTTTTGAAAATAGCCACATTTCAATCCAAAACGTTACAATCAACATTCAATTTTATCAGATTCAAGGAGTTTTCCAGGAGTTTCAGCAATTTTCCCCCATTTTCAAGGTCTTTCAAGCGCCCTTGAAAACAAGTTTTCAATTCCAGGACTTTTCAAGGACTTTAAGGAGTAGCACAAACCCTGTGTTTTAAATGCGGAAGAATTGTGTGGGGAAATAAGAAAACTACTTTCCTTATCTGATAAATCATACTGCAATGGTGAGATTCCTATTTTTTAGTTGTTCTTTTTTTAATTAATATGGTGACCTCTGAATATGCTCCTTTAAGCTCATAAAATATTATACCTTTTTTCCATTTTTATAAAAAAAAAATGTTGGCATTGCACTGATCCCTTCTGCTTCAGAGGTTTCCTGAAACAAACATACATGAAAAAAAGATGAGAAATGTCAAGCAAGCAAAATAGAGGTAGATCTTTGCTTGTTCTTTATTGGTCAATAGATTGAGTCAAATTCTCTGATGAGATGATTAATTTAGTGCCTGCAACTTTGAATTTYAAAACACGAACAAGGTTTAAGAGACTTTGTGCCCTGGGGATTACTTCTGGGAGTGAGGAAATAAAAAGAGAGGATTTGCCCTGTGTTTAGTGTTTTTAGGTGGCTAGTCGACCCAGGGGGTACTCCTCCCAAACTTGGGTGGGGGTGTGCCGCTGGGACGTCAAAACCCTGATCCTGTTCCAGAGTGAAGTCACTGAAAACTATACCCTGTTCCAGATAAAATCCTGTACTAGGTTGCATGTAGACTAAATTTTTACCCTGTGAATTTTTAGCCAGCATCAACAATTCCAGAATTAAACCCTGACCCTGTTCCAGAGAAAATTAGTTGAAATCGATACCCTGTTCCAGAGTAAAATCGCTAAAAACGATACCCAGTTCCAGAGTAAAATCGCTAAAACGATACCCTGGTCGGTGGCACGTCCCCATATAGCAAATATAAGGGAGGCCCCAGGCTAGTCGAGAGCAACAATTGTGCTACAAAAATGTTGCAAAGCTATTACCATTAGTTAGGAACACTACAAAGGCCCAAAAGAATGATGGGATAGGTGTGAATGGCAGTTAATACTTGCAGTTCTTAGTTAAAATAAATGAAAATTACCTCATTCTCATCAACATTCACTTTAACAAATACCACCACTCCGCTTAAATCCTCAGACATGGCCTGAAAATAAAAAAAAAAAACCTTTTTGCAATTTCAAACACCTGTAATTTCTGGTCCTTAAATGTAAGAGCATTGAAACTTTCAGATCTTACTCATTATAACATATGTTCTTTCATCGGGTAGTAATGATATATTAAACAACTTACAAACTCAGGCGTTATGAAAGCCATGCCCTTTTTCATATGGTCTAGAATTGCAATAGAGGTGAATAGATTATACATACCACAATTTTAGGTGCAATCATTTTGCAAGGACCACACCAATCAGCATAAAAATCTACTACAATAAGTTTGTCTTTATTACTAGGATCATTTAKCAGACCATCAAATTCATTCTGATGAAAGAAAACAAAAATAAAATTCTCACAAGTGCTCCTCATAACATAAAATGTCCATACATGCAGCGCTTAGTATTGTAAATGTTGAAAACCAAACAATGTATAGCTGTCAACCCCCTGACTTTTCAAATCTGGAGATTCGTAAAAACCTAATTAACATAAATTGTTGGATTTTGGGATTCCTGTGGTTACGTGACGTAACGCAACAAAGGGGCGGCTACAGCAAAGCTACATTTATTATTGAACAAACAGAACAAAGAAAATCGTAAGTAACAAGTAAGCTCATGATTCAAAAAGTAGCTTTTTCATAAGCGGTAATATTTTAGGTATGTCAAACATTGATACAAGACCATATTTTTATAAGTTTGATTATTATCCGGGAGATTTCAACCTTTATCCGGGAGACGAGGCTCAAATTCTGGATACTCCCGGCTAATCCGGGAGGGTTGACAGCTATGACAATGATGCATAGCATGTATATGCCAACACCGAAATGCCTTGTTGGTCTTCATATCACAGCTACAGACACAGGAAGCACAGGCTTTTTATCAGTGGTTCTTATGTAATCCCCCTCTTCTCCCCTCTATATTTTCACGTTATTTTGACGATTTTGTATGGTGTTATTGAATCATGAATTCCTCACTTGGATTGTAACAAAATCACACAAAACTTTCAAATTCTGTTATTGATGTATGCAACAATCCCCTGGAGAAGTTTCAACTGATTTGGTTATCTTTCTCCACACCAAACAAAGAAGAAAAACTTCTTTGAGGGAAAAATTTTTGCTGTAGTTTGGAATTGACAATTTTTTTTATCTACTATCATGGCTGGAATCATCATTGTGGGAAATAAACACATCCCTAGGTACAAGAAAACCTTCAGGTACTTCTGTCAAMATAAATCATTGGAGTTCAGACACAAAAAAAAACAATATTTCATCAAACAGTATTGGCTGTCCCCAACCATTAAACCACTTTAATATATTCATTGTAAATTCAGTGTCAAGACAATTCTTGGCTGCAGTCAGTACTAAGTAAGTGTTTATTGGTCATATTGTCATGGTAATTTCATTTAAGTACATTTCATAAATTATTCTAACAACAACTTTTTCCGCTTTTAATATATCAATTGAAGTCAGTTTTAGTTGTTGAGGTAGAAATAAATGTATATTCTATAAAGTAATAATATATACCGAAACTAGAAACCTCACAAGACTGTAAGGAAAGTAAAAGCTAAAAACCGTACAATATGTTTTGAAATTGAATAATTTATACCGAACTTGTGTATGACCCAATGTCTTAAATTTGCTCAAAATGTGTCATTTGTGGACCCAATTGATGTAAGCATTTATGCCTTGCTTTGAAAACTGCCAACAAAGTATTAGATGGAGTACGTTTGCAATATTTACAATAATGTTTAAGTAGCTTAAAGTACATTGTAATGCACTCGACGAAGSTTGACAAATTAACATATCTCGATCGCTTGGTTTTAGTAAGTTATGTACCTCACTCTGACTTAACACAAATCTTTTGCRTCTTACAGAGTAAGCTTTTTTATAACGGAGAAATAATCAGATCTTGATGTTACGATTGTATAAAAAGGCCTATTATTATGACATGACCTTCGAGCTACAATATGTAGTTGCAAGGTGATTAAAAAAAACTACTAGAAGTATGCTTCGAGAAAAATGAGAATTCATTAAAATTCAAACAAACTCTTAACTTACCTTAGTTTCAATTAATTTCACCATGATCAACTGGATATGATAGAACGTTTATCAGTTATCTAATGACTAGTCCAAACAAGAAACACCCAAAACTATCACCCGTCTACACCACGTGAAGTGAGTCAGCTAGTTTCACGCCTACTCGTCCTTATTTGCACAGGTCGCCCAAATAAGGAAACAATTTTTCCTGAGTCATTCCAAAATTTTGCTGTTGATAAAATGACTAAGGGAAAAATGAATAAGATTGCGTGATTTGACATTTTTCATGAAGTTTTTACCATGTCTTTTTAATGATTTGGTTTCATAAAAGTACAATCCATTTTTCGGCTTCAATGATCACTGAAAGAAATATTTATTTCATTTCTCATTTTTCTGTTTTTCCTTTTTCTTCCCAGTTTTTCCTAGGGAACAGTCAAAGGAATAGCAGAGGCATGAAAGATGAAGACAAAACATTGAACGCCTTTTGATTTTCAAAATTTATTGATAAATGGCTAAATGAAGGTCGATTATACAAAGTTATCAAATGCATTATTTACATGGTATTTCTTTAATTATTGATAAAAAAATTTAGCATTTATTTAATATGTAATCCTTCATGACTAAACTTGTCAATCATTATAGGATTGCAAAATACATTTCAGACCAGTGGAAAATGTCAAATCCCACACAATTTGCTCTAATCAATTGTATAAATCATCAATTTGATAACAAAAATGGAAAATGTAAGAATCATTCCCAGCAAAACATTTCTGGAATACTGGAATACTGCTGGAATTCTACTGAATTCCAGGAATTTATTACCAGGGAGACAAAATGCAATTGTAATCCTTAAGTGACAAGCAAACTAAAATTAATGATGTCTTATGTAAAACATGCATAGTATATTTCATAATATTTAACTAAATATTGAAAGTGTTTTATAGAAATGATGCTAGAAAAATTAGCTTAATTCAATACATACCCTAAAGATATAAAATATGTGCAAAATTAGATAATAGCTTAGGTATATGTGAAATAACTTTGGTTCGTTTTGCTGAAACAGAGTTATTTTGGATGTGACACAGGCTTTATATATATCAAAAACATGAACATTGTCATAACAATGTTATTTCACACCTCATTATTATGCATAGTCCCACAAGAGGACTGCTAGCCAGGCTAGCAAGTTGTCCCTATCATAACTGAACAGAGATSGTAGACTTGGAAGAGAAGGAAATAGAATGGAAGGAAAATATTATCCCTCTCATTTAAACCTGCACTGCCATCCCAGATGAAGCCATGCTCTACACATGAGAGTAGTGACATAATATTCTGGTTTCCAGGATCTTTGATCATTTCAGTTTACTTATGCCTTTGCTTTGTTTGAATAAAAACAAAGATCATTAATAGAATCCTGCGGTCTCATTGGCCACTATAGGCAACATCTGTAACATTCTGTGTTGATATAATATAATGTTTCTAGAGGCAAATGTAACATATCAAAGTACTTGATWAAAACAAGTATTAAGCAATTATTTCCATTACGATTTGACTGTTACTATTATGATGCCATGCAGCAGCAAACACTAGCAATTGATATGATTACGGTTACAGTACAATCATTTTAATCATTACTATTATCTGCTATCATCATTACCATCATTATCCTAATTGTTACTTATTGCAAAAACTACTAATTTACCATCATCACATAATATTGCAAATAAAAATTTCAACTTTTAAAGATACATACTGTTAGCATTACCAGCTTCATCGTCACCTCTATTAATTTGATTTTTATAATTAATGTYTATCATTATGCAAAGTCATAGTAATGATGTGAAGTCTAAAGATTAAAGTGAAGTATGAAATATAAATATTAATTCCTGACTACCACTATTTAAATAGTAGATGAGTTGTACATTTCTTAGGGTGCATCACATACATGCTATCAAAGATGCTGCATTACCTAATTTWGACAACAAACATTATTGAAAATATAATTTTGATCAAATTATAAATTCTCCATTGCTTGGAAGACCCAAGTTAGAAGAATTTCTCTTTTGATCATTTTAACACTGTGCTATTTAGAACTATAGCAAGATACTGATTTATAATATTTGATTAAAAAAATTTATAACAATTATTAGTTTGTATACACAATTTTGAATATTCAAGCTCAGTTTATAACAAATATCAGGACCAGAGATCAATTGGCTGTTAAATTTTCRTAACTCCTTGATCTGAACAAATTTATGTGTGGGTTGCCATGGAATTCAAATTTTGATGTCAAATCCAGGCTGAGTTATACCAAYACTATTATGAATGATAATTCCCCAAGCTACCACAATGCATTAAAAACTGATTACAACATGCATGCATACCCCTCGTAAACATCTCTTAAATTGGTGCATAATGTGTTATTGTAATCTGTCAGTAGGCTGTACAAATACTGAATAGATCAATGACACCAATAAAGAGGATTTTTAAGAAATATTATATCAAAATACAAAAAAGATGAAAAGGCAAATGGATTTGTTTTGAGAGCCTGTAAATTCATGAAACCAAAATGCTTGAGTGAATAGAATGCTGGTACAGGGCTCGAAAATAACGGCCAGACATATGCAAGACAAGATGTCCTTCCAAATTCATTTTTGGAAGGTCATGTCAAGTTTTGAAAGTACAAAAGCTTTATAATACTATTATTTTCTTTTCATTTGTGGGTTTTTGTATTCAGAAAGATCAGCAAGCATTGTAATAGCTTGTAAAAGATTTTTTAGTGAATTCAGAATTGATTTGTCTAAAAATATGGCAGGTCAATATGTCCTTTCAAAACCTGATTTGGCCGGTCATCTAGCGAATTTGGAGGGACATTGTCCTTTGACCGGCTGTTATTTCAAGCCCTGCTGGTAAATGCATTGTGTTATGATATTGGTGCCTATTTTCATTAATAATTGCTACTTATTGACACACTATTAAAGRCTCTACTTGTCTATGTTACCCATTCTTTGCTCGGCAGTAAACATCGCTGCTTGAGCTTGACTGTACTTTGACTCAGGGTGAATCAATAGGTGACTTCTAAGTGCAGTGTCATGTCTGAAAGCTTTGTTGCAATGAACACACTTAAATGGCTTTTCTCCTGTGTGCCGTCGCACATGAACAATAAGATGTTGCTTTTGGCGAAACGTCATATCACAGAGCGAGCATTTGAAGGGCTTTTCACCAGTGTGGGTGCGCATATGAAGATTAAGACTACTGCCAAACTTGAACTCTTTGTTGCAATATGGGCATATGTCTTGCTTCCTCTTACAATGTGATTGCTCATGACTTTCTAAGTGCGATTTTTGAGAGAATGTTCTATCGCATGTCTGACATCTGAATGGCCTTTCACTGGAGTGTGTTAGCAAGTGAGCGACAAGATTTCCCTTGTGACGGAAACCTTTCTCGCAATAAGAACATTTATATTTATTGTCCTCAGTATGTGTCCTGAGATGATTTCGTAGATGGACTTTCTGTCGGAATGTTCTGTCRCATGAACAGCACTTGTATGGCTTCTCTCCAGTGTGAAGYTTGACRTGCACCTTGAGACTGCTATTATGACGAAACTCCTTGTCGCAATATGAGCATTTGAATGGCTTTTCTCCAGTGTGTGTACGTAAGTGAACTTGCAAACTGTTGCTGTTTGCAAATGACTTTGAACAACATGGGCATTTGTGGATGTTACTATTTGATTCCTCTTCTTCCAATCCTGGCTCAACCTTTACTATTATTGTATCAGCTTGTTCTTCTTGGCTTGTTTGGTCCTCACGTGGTCCATTTTTTGTTCTTGGAAGTTCAAAAGATGTGTTTTTCTCAGCTTGCAAAACAGCAGATACTTGGTCTCCTTTTTGGACATTTGTGTTAATAACATCACCGGTAGCATAACTAAAAACATTGGAAATCACAAACTGCTTCGGCTCACTAGTTTGTCTTTCTGGGTTAAATAGAGAAGTGCTTTTGTTTACTACAATTGACTGATTTTTATTTATAGGTTTTGAAGAACTAGACATAGTACTTGGAGTTTGGAYGCTTACAGCATTTGCAACACTTGGAGAAGCACTTGAAGAATTTTTGTTTGAYGCTTGTGAATTGACTACCTTTATCAAATTATTGTTTATAACTTTGGCACCATGTTGAACATTAGCAATCATTCCATTGACTAAATACTTCTCTCTTATAATTGTTGTTTCCTGGGACTTCCTTCCTGTAACTTGTGTTGAGGCTACATTACTTAAAGCAGTCACATCTGGAGCAGTAACATTTGGGTTAGTTTGAGTCATGCCAGGTACTAGTTGCTTGTGTAAGCCATCTGCTTGAGGGATGGAAACTACTCTTGGAATGACTGCATGTCCATTAACTACTGCACTATTTGCTGGAAGTAACACATTAGCAAACTTGCCATTGCCTAAATGCAGAGTTCCACTGATCATGTATCCTTGATTACCTGGTGCCAGACTTTGAGCTGGAACAGCAGTTGGAACTGAACTAGAAACAACATTATTTGCAAGACTAGGAGCTATGGCTTGATTTGATGGAGTTTGTGTGGAGTTAAGTTTTGCTGCTGGAAGTGGGATTATGTTACTTTGATATCGTTTGTTTCTCTCAGGACTGTTAATAGTCTGGACTTCCTGGATGTTGACTTCTTTAGTACCAGTATCTACATGACCATTCATGATAGGTTTAGGCAACAGAAGTCTACTCTGAGCAGCTTTTGCATTGTTATATGTTGAAGCATTGATAACACTTAGACCTGAATTACACATATTAATGCTACCACCATTAATGACTTGCTCATCAACATCCATACGTACTTCAACGACGCTTGCTCTTGCACTTACACAGCCTGCATTAGCAAGCAAGGASGTACAACCATTAATACATCCTGTGTCATCTGTTTGTGTTGCTACACTACACAATTCCTTATACAGCATTGGCTCTCCATCTTTTATATTATTTGACATAGTCTCTGAGTTCTGGGCAGGCCATCTATGTTCTCCTGTAGTTTTGTTATAAACGAACATTGTTTGTCCCGACTTACATAAGTATCTTACCCAGTTTTCTTCCATAGTTGAGAGTATGTCCTTCAACTTCTTTAAAAATACCGACTGTTTCCTTTAAAATATATACATTGGAGTCTTGTACAGCTCTAGTTCCCCTAATGTGTCATTGTAATGCCCTTTGGGAACAAGAAGTTTCAAAATCTTTCTGACGATTGTCACAAAATCACAAGCTATGATGTGTGACGTTGTGTCTTGATGTGAAAGTCTGTCGGATCCTTTAAGCAGCAAAATTCAGCAACCATCCAAATGAAACAGTTCTAAAGATTTTTAAGTCTCCAGGATCAGAATATCTGCAGTATATAACTCAAAGCATTTTTAAAACTTACATAGCTTTACATGAAGATTGATTACCATATTTGAATTGCTGAAATATGGACCAACAGATCATGCTCAAAAATCTCGAGTCAAAACTCTTAAACTCCTATCAACTATAACGAACCAAAACATTAAATACTTGATTTTGAATTGATTGTATAAAAACGACAAAATCTCGGCAAAAATAACGCCAAATCAAAGATCAAAACAACCGAACTTTGTAAGTGACTTGAGTCACGGAATGATAAACACGCTGGCGTTGCCTCATTACCAGTCTCTCTCCCTCCCCAGGGAGCCCAAGAAAATCGCTGAAATTGACGAAAAACGCCTGAACTAAGCGRAAACTATTCCTCGAACCTGAACTGAAATCTGATATCTTTGGATTTTTTTGGTGGAATATTGGCCTTTGAACCGATTATCACTAAGAAAACTACTATGTGGTACATATGTCCCYGTGGATGCCACAATGCTTACCTGTTTCAGCGCAGCAGTAGGGGTTAAAGGTGTGGTAAAGATCTGCGCAAAAATAGGAATGGTGAATTGGACTGCGGTAAGGGGAATATACTTCGGGGCGTAAAGACCATATGGTCCTGTGAAATCTTGGTAAACAGTCATACACACTGAACTCATTTTCAAAGACTCCAATCTCTATGAAAAAGCCTAATAAAATATATACATTCAGTTACATCCGCAATTTTAAATTACCTTAAAAAAAACTCTAAAAAAAACTAACTTCCGGGCAGAGATGATCTGTAGCGATCGACGAGCAGCCTTAGAAAATTTATGTTTGTAGCTAGACAGAATTATAAAGACAGAAGGACAGGTTAAAAAAACAAATTCCATTACTGAATGTCGTTAAACAAAAAACTTTTCACTCTCCTGCCGATATTATATAATTAAAGAATTTTCTTCCAAAATATTTTGTTTTCTGCGTAGTGAACCAAAAAGGAGTGTTATTTCTTTTGCGTCATAGTTYATATGACGCAAYACCCTCTACAGTGAACTCCTTCAAGATTTCACARAATTRAAAATTGATTCTTCAAAACAAAGTCACATTAAAAACAGTTGAATAATCCAATAAGCCATTCAGCCAACAAAATAATTTACGTAAAGTAGCATTCCGGCTTATTCAGTAATCCATTGATTGCGCGTGTACAATGCATGACGTAATAGGTATTTGTTCACGTGACTAACAACGACCAAAGAGTGCCACAAATAGACTTCTTGGCAACCAACAAAGTGCTACACAACGTGTTAAAATTTATTAGAAAATAATGATATTTCATAAGAAACATAGTTAAACATATTAAAAGTAATAGAAGTATGTCTGATGTTAGTTCTACAAGGTCTTTGCAARCTAAGGTAGGTATTTTTTTAGTTCAAAAGTGTTGTTTTTTTTTTCGAAGAGTTGAGTTGACTTTTTGTCTCTTGGCTTGATTTTGCAGCTGGCGGACTTGCACATTTTTGTGGTTCCTGTAGAGCTCTGGCTTGACAAATACCGAACAGCGTTCAATAATATCGCTCTGGAGTCTGTTTCCGCTGGCTTTGTAAGGTAAATATCTCGACTACGACTCTTCCAYCAAGACACTCGAACACATCACTTTACAGCTCTTCCTGAACAAAAGCATTAGACATGGTTGCCTTGGTTTATCATAGCCTTTACAGAAAWGCCATTTTAACTAATTAACTATGATTCATTTCCACTTAGAGTYCACCCGGATTTAAGCCTTCATCATCTACGGGAATGTCTCGAAGAGCAACTCGGSGAAGAAGTCATTCCAGAAGAATTCATATTCTTGAGAAGCGTTGGAAGATGTATGGCAATTGTAAGTTAGAATCAAGAGTAAAAACATTAAAASATTATTTTATTAAAGCAATTTTAGCAATGGCCAGTGCAAGATATTGRGCCTCAGTAGAAAACGACAATTCGCACCTTSTTAACAGATTATTTTATTGAATAGCGTGTTTATTCAGAGATATGTGTGTTYCTTGGCGAAAGGTATTTGACATGTCTGTCGGCATGCGTTATTGCGTTATGGAGTCTCACTACTATACTTTCCTCTTTATTTTAATATTTTATTGACAAAAGTATCTTATGGTAAATCTTAAACACAATATACCATACATTTTTAGAAAAATAACAATAAAAAATGAAAATCAACTGGCTATATGGAATATTTCGTTTGTTTACATTTCAATTTTTTTATAATTTTTTTTTCCATTTTTTGTGATAAAAGTACATCAATATTAATGAATAAACATTGGTGTTTTTATTTATTTTTAGGTGAAACAAAACCAAGAACGTCTATTGAAAGCAAAAGACTTTTTACCACCAACAGTAAGTTTAACAATGATTTCAAATTACATTATTGTGAGAGGAGTCTTTTTATTATACTCAACTATGCACACAAGTACATAAATAGTCTTTGAATAAACTGTCTTTAATCATCGGGTGACTACCGGTATTTGCAGACTAACCCACCCCCCCCCCCCCCCCCCCCCCCCCACACACACACTTTTTTTCCTCGCTATGCAGTGTGCACACTATCCTCCAAACAAAACCACAGTAAATATTTTGATAATATCTAATTGACCAAATTATTGATCTTATAGGCATATAGTCCTGAGATTTTTCTTCTTCCTGGCTCACATGAAACCTATGCCAGGCCATCAACAGACTCTAACAATGTGGTCATAGCTACTCAAGGTCACACAACAGGTAACCCAAAAACAGACTGATTTTAAGTTAAGCTAGATATACTGTAGTACTTCAGTCCGTCATGGACTTTTCTCTAGCCAGTCAGGAGCCCATGAGCCAGTATAGTAGTTTTCACTTCCCGAACACTTTGTTGGATTTTCCAATGCTTTACTTTAAATGCTTTCAAGTGAAGATATATGCTTATTTTTATACGCTAGYGTGACAGGTTTCCTTTTCTAAATAGAACCCTAGCTTTAAATTGTAATCATTTTCTGCACTTATCAATGCTTGTCAGTAAGACAGTAACAATGTTTGTTTTATTCTTAGCTGGGATGTCAACGACCAATCCATTTCATCTACCTCTAATCACCCAACAAAACTTGGTAACACAAYCTGGATTTATTAATCAGCAAGGTTACCAWAGTAACCAACCTGGCCAAGAAGAAGGTTATGGTTTCCATAGAAACAAATCTGATCAGACTGGAAATGGTAGCATAGGAAATCAACGAAAACAATCTMAAAGTGACAGTTTTGACAGCGAGCGTTCGAGTAATAGCTTAGAAGACAGCAATAATGGTGACCATGGCAAYAATACACGTCGTTTAAGCAAAGACTCTGAGGATTCTGGGTACACTCCTAGGCGTCAGAAGAAATCATCTATAGAATCGAAAACAGAACCTAARATTGAAGAACCAGAGAACCATGTTAATAGAGCATCACCAGTCGAATATAAGACCGTCAAAATAATCGAACCACAAGTWGTRCATAGTGTTCCCTACCAGGGTCCTGATGGGCGATTAATTGCTCCACCTACACCCATCCCCTCAGGAAGGGTAATTGCATCGCCTTTGCCAGGTCCTCGAAAGAACAAAGGTGACAAAACTGAAAACAATCCTAAAGAGRGTAAAAAGAAAAGTAAAAAGGGAAAATTAAAACAACGTTCAAGGTCATCGTCTTTGGAGAAACAAAAGGCTGACAAAACAGAAAACGCAGARAAAGTGGAGATTGTACCAATACAAGATGASGTCATTCCTACCATTGAAGACGTGGAGGATAGATCCAAATATGCACAGTTTCCATCTCCAGCTAAATCTACCAGACCCTCTTATCCTTATGCTAATGAGAATGGATTGGATTCTGGGATAGCTGATGATTCACTCGAATCTTCACAAGAACTGTAAGTAGAGTTTCTTTTTTAAACGTGTTCAAACAGTCATGCAGATTATTGATCCATCTATTTGTTTTTTGTTTGTTTGTTTGTTTGTTTTGTTTTGTCCATCGGTTTATCCCATCAATTCCATTATTCAGTTATTCATAAGTTACTAACGTTTCTTTTTCCATCATTCTATTTCAGAAGTAATTCCCTAAATGGCGGTAAACTGATGGCAAATGATGAATTGAGCTTTGACAGACAAAACGGTTTCGATGCGGCGGAAAATGATAATGACAGATTACATCTTGATGAAAGCGCACTTTTAAGCAAGGAAAGTGCACAAGCTACTAATTCCAATGCTGAAAATAACAAACAAGACAATAAAAATAACATTACCGCAAGTCAAACTACAGGGAAAAATACTAAAAATCCTATTCGAAAACCTAAGAAAACTGTGAAAAAGACAGTGAAAAAGACAACTGATGATCTCGATGAAAAGTTAAAAAAACTCAAAAAGGTTGAGCCACCCMCTGTYGCGGTTCCTGATCCGCGTTCTGTAACGTTTGAAAGGGACACTCATTCTGCYAAAGAGAGAAAACAGAAGATAATCGAAGAACTACGAGGTCAGTTGAGAAAGGCCAAGAATGAGAGAGTAGACTTAGAGAAGCAACGGGATCAGAAAGTCCGCAGAGCAAAGTCATTGCAGACGCAGACTCTACAAAAGCGTAACCAAGGTAAGGATGGCAAATGATGATGATCATTAATGATGCAGATGTTCCGATGTGAAACATTAATGAGCAATTCAGAGTGCAGTACTTCCATATTGCTGAAACTAGGAGCTTTACTGTTGCTTCAACGATAGTTATCCTGGGGTTAACGGGCGATACAATACATTGATTTGACTTATTTTTTCAGCTAAGAACATATGGAAAAAGAAATTTTTCGATGAAAAACGGAAGACAGCTCCGTTGGAAGAGCAGTTGAATCGTCTAAGATATGATGTAGAGGTGCAGCACAAAGCMATCSTTGACTTGTTAGAAAACAAAGGTAAGCTGAACATCACAACCCTAAACTAACCCTAACCCAACCTTAATCCGATCACCTTAAACCGACCATAAACTCAGTGGTCGATCCAGAACCGTTACAAAGAGAGACGGGATCATATGATTTAATCCCTATATGTTTGTTACTAGATCGAGATGGAATTAGAGGCAGCAAAGAGCAAGATAAAACCCCATCTGAAAAGGTAATGCGTCCCGATATGTTCATCTATTTACAGCTCGTGCTTCTCGCATCTTATCTTTCGTTCTCTCATTACTTTCAAACACGCGGTTGTTTTCAATTCGATTCTCATCTTTAATCCTTTTTTTTTGTTTTATCGTAGACCAATCAACTCATGCTTCTTGCGCGAATTCAGAGCGAAGTCGAAGACTTAAAACACAAGATCGAAGAGCTTAAAATGAAACTTGCATCTGAAATGAAGGTACGTTTGATAAACCTCAATTTCTCTCCTGCATTTTTGCGGTTTTTGATGCTTCAACGTTTGTATCTAGAGATGAATTTTCATATTTTAATCATATSTTTGTTGTTTTAGCTGCGAGACACCGCTCAACGAGAACTGAAGCAGCTACGCGAAGATTTAGTCGAAAGGAAAATCAATCTAACCTTRACGAAGAGTCAGAAAAGTCTAGTTGTACTAAACCCAGCAAACATCACTGCACAGTAATTTCATCATGATCCATATATGGATATTCACCAGTCACGTGACTTTAAAATCGACCAATGTCCAACGCACCATAATATAATGCATTGCTATTGTGTGTTAAATTGTGTTACAATTTAAGAGCGTATAAAAAGCGATTCGATCTAATAAAACAAATATCACARCCTGATATTAGTATAGACTCTAACTCGCGCTCAGGAGCGATATTTCACGAGAACACACAATCGTTGGAGTTATCTTTCAAGCGTATACACGTAATAGCCGACTTGCGAATTACGCATCAATAGTCACATACAAAGGAATCAAGACGAGGCGCCGTGCTTTTTTGTGAAAAATCTATTGTCTTTAGCACGGCGCCTCGTCTTGATTCCTTTGTATGTGCGCCAGTTAGTAATAAGTGAAAAGCCAATACACAGAACCAGGGAAACTTTAATAGCGAAATTATAACTGAATATAAACTCTGCGAAGTACACGAGTGAGTCAATCAACAAAGAAGGCGACCCAGAGTCGGTCACGTGAGTAAAACATTAGGTACCGCTGACCGGTACTGGCGGTGACTATTGATGCGTAATTCGCAAGTCGGCTATTGAAGAAACGTTGTCGGGTCCAAAAATGTCAAATCATAGAAGATAAGACCGAAAGGGTACTTGGGAAGACAAACAATTTGGCTAATTTCATAACAAACAGCTCTCCAGCATAAAAGACTATAATCATGCTGTTAATCTTACTAGCTCTACTTTCTTAGTGTACACCGTATATGCTAATGTAATCCCAATTTAGTGGTACTCAAAATCCCTTTCGGTCTTAGCTTCTATGATGTGACCTTTTCGCACACGACTACGTTTTTTCAATTAGGTGTAAAATCATTAAAGAATTCCAACTAACCACAATRCAGCGCGCGCTCKTCTTATTGTTTACATACGTTTAAATGCGTCAACATACAATACATTATAGAATGATAGTACCTGTCTGGTACTTGGTTAAAGGTATTTTGAAAGACGATTCGCGCTCACTTAAAGAAATCCTACAAATATCTGCCATTTTCGTGTCCACCCAAAATGGCGCTTCGGCTCGCAAGGTATGGCGGTTGGTTGTGATTCATTAAAAGATGGTCTTCCAGTATTTTAAATGGGGAATYTCCAAAAATGCCTAAGAAAACTAAAATTCCACTGGTTTAGCGTTTAAGAGTATAGTTTTTTTACCGCGTCTCGTTTTTGCTGAGTCAGTGGCAGTGAGAAAACCCTATGAATACATTAACCAGCTGCTCTGAATTGACTGACTTTTTGAGTTGCTTGAAGTAACAGACATATTCAATGTAACCTTAGTTACGCCAAGTCGTTAATGGTGGGAAAAACTGTACTGAAAACGCACGAAAACYKTTTTTCAAGCTCTCTTCAATTGTTCAGTTCTTTTTWTGTATTTTTCTTTTTAGTTTTATATGTAAGGTGATTCATAATATTATTGCAATCCATCACCGCTTAACCAGACCTCAAGCTTGTGTTTTGCTCATTGTTTGACAGTGATTTATCGCGGTTATAATACCAACGCAAAYTCTAAAATCAATTTATCTTTCACACTGTGTATCCTTTAGTAAGTGAAGTACTTGTGTGACAACCGCTTTTCGAGGTTTACCGTAGGTCTAWAAATATCCCAGGAGTGAAATTCTGTGACTGCCACCTGCTAACTTATTAGTAGGATAATTAGGTTTCTCATGTTAGTAAAAACATTAATTTCACAGATATTTTCTGGTGTACTTTTAAACGATTGTTGCGCAAAATCAATGACAAAGGAGAATTATTACAGRAAAGCTTATGCAAATGTACTGCTTCTTATGGTCTATGACTTTATAATTATATGACCGACAGAACTCAATCGGAGTAAATTACTACGCACTTTACCCGTCGTTCAACCCACAGACTACTGAGAACGGAATACATTATAAGAACAGGGCATAGTGCCAGGTAAGATATAAACATTCACATGTAAGAACCGATCTGGGAGCGGCACATCGAAATCCTACCTCTAAAATGAAATATTATACAAAATGGAAGAAGGAAATTCTCCCAAAATTTCTCTGAATGAACCGAATGGAAAGGAAAACATGCACGACGAAGGCAACAAGTTTAAATCGTTTGAAGAACAAGTGAAATTCTACGAACGACGTATTAGGACTTTTCATAAAGCAAAGCAAAAAGAAAACGAAGGAGATGAGTTATGCAATTTAGGAATTCTGTACTACAAAGCTGGAAGATTACAAGAAGCAAGGCATTGTCATGAAAGACATCTGTATATTGCTAAGTCAATCAACAGTGCAAGAAGCCAGAAAAGAGCGCAGTGTAACTTAGGATGTACATTTCGTAGGTTAGGCAACATTGACCGCGCGATTGAGTGCTATGAGGAAGGACTATCACTTGCCAAGGATCTTGGRGATCGACAGGGAGAAGGAAAGTTAATCAATAACCTCGCGAATATCTTTGAACAAAAAGGAGACTTCGATCGTGCCATATTTTATCATCAAAGACGATTGAAACTCGCCAAGGAATTGAACGATTTGGACGCTGAGAGCAAGTCGTGTGCAAGTATTGGSAATATMCATCATTTACTGGGAAACATCAGAGAGAGTATTGCATACTATGAACGACTAGTCGCCAGTTTGAAGTTTAAACTCGGTAAGAATTATTTTCAACGTACAATATTGTATTTTTTTATCGATAGAGGTAATGTTGACATCGAAACGTGGTGTTTTCATATCAATAATTTATTACTGGATGTTCGTAGTTTGATTCAYTGAATTTTACACATCGTGCAGTACGCCATGACCCGAAACGTTTATATATATATTCGCGGTAACTTATAAAAAATGTCAGTTTTGCAAATTTTATATCCAGATATTTAATTCTAATAGTTTTGCACTGACAATTGAATCGGTTATTAAGGAAAAAACTGTCATAATATGAATATGAATAATCACAATAAGATTATAGATTGTTGAGAAAAATAACAGCAATTTCATTATGACGCGCGTAGCACTTGCTGAAAACATATYAACATCTAAAMTTTTTTAATGCTATTTAGAGAGAGCGGAAAGGAAAGGGATTCGTTTCCGAAATAAAGCCATTTTTAAAGACGTAAATKAATAAATCGAATTTAAAATCTTCAAACAATCAATATGGTTATTTCTGCCTGTCATATGCGTCTTGAGGGCATAAAGGGCCACTAAAAAGAACAGCATATCTTTAGAAATACTACAAGAGGGCTTTTAATATCGTAACATGATCACTTCAGCATATAATATATATGATTTTTAAATTGGAATATTCATATATCTGTCATGCTAAACAACAAAATTTGTATTGATGTAGCAGAACAAAAGATAATGAGGAGAATTAAATTTTTATGATAAGTATAATGGAAATGGGCTAA